GATATCAAATCAATACAAGACATCAAATTCTCATAGACAAATCTAAGAGTAAGATGCATACCTGACCTTTTAGAAAAAATGCATAGTGTGAAGTGTGTGGACACACTTCATACTACGGGCTCTCTGACTACAGAATCGCGCCGACCCTTTTGCTACAATCCTTTAAATACAAAACCAAGATAAAACATCCCCCAAGTGGAGGCATGTACAAACAATTGGAATCTGGGTGGCTAGTTTACACCTCAAATGGGAACAGAAGGTAATTTACATGGAAGACCCTGGGAGAGGGCACTCCCATTACAATAAGCAAAATATCTCTTAACTCTTAGGATCTGTATGATCTTTTAGTCTACTTTTGTAAGATTAAGACCATTGTACCACTCACCCTGAGACTATTCAAATGAAACCAAACATGACTGTAAATATTATTTGCATTCATATAGAACATTATATTCTTGACCATTCTGAGTGAATTAAGTGGAGGGAGGAGATGAAAAGGAACTGATGCATATGTGAGAGAGGCGTTTCCTGCACCGCCCCTCTGTGGGGTGTCTTGAAGATGCCAGTGTATTGTCTGTTTCTCAGGAGATCAAAGTATCTGAGTTTCTTTTATCCTTACAAAACAAATCAAACACACCTTCCTTTTTTCCAAGCATACTTTGCATCTTTCATCTTGTGTCAGTCCAATTTTACTTAATATCATTTCAGTCATTATACAATTGTCTTAGTAAAAAAAATAAAACAAAATTAATATTGGACCCTTAAAATTCATTCTCACATTTTTCCATATGGTTGATGCATCAAAATGACCAAACAACTTTTCCCAATATTCAATAGCTTTAGGTTTCACAAACACATGCTTACATAAACATGTATAAAACATCTCAATAGCACAGGCATTAAAAGTAACTTTTTCAGCTTTTATTTTTAAAAACACTTGCAGTTTTCCACTATCAGTTTCTTTTTCATTCTCCTCAATTCTTTTAATCCAGTCTGCTGGCACTGCCTCTTTCAGTTTTATATATTTTTCTTTCATTTATTCTTTGTTTTCTATATCTTCACTATCTTCCAGTGTGTCTATAATTGCTTGTATCTGTAAGAATCCAGGTTTTACTTCATATAGAATATCCTTCACTTGTCTAAAACCTGCATTAAACCAATTTTCATAAAACATTTTTTTTTTGCTTTTAATTTTCAAAAAGAAGTGTTGTTGCAAGTACTGTTTTCGACCTTTAAGCTCAATGTAAACATTTGAATTAAAAGCTTTCCATGCTCATAAAACCTCCTTATAAAATTCCGGTATATCCACTATCATGTTATCTTTAAAATCCATCCATAAGAAATCATCTCCCATTTGTCCACATTTATTATTACACTTTTCCATGGAATATTATCATTATTTAGAACCTTTTTGTGTGTTTTAATTCTCATACTCTTCATTCTTATCCATGGATCTACAAGTCCAAGTCCTCCCTCTTCCACCTTTCCAGTAATTGTATCGTATGCAATTTTAGATGGTTTATCATCCCATAAAAACTTTAAGACTAGCGTTTTTATTCTCTATCTAACTAACAACACTTAACATACCACATTTTAGACAAAAAAAGTATCCAAAACAAGAACTTTTCCTTTTAAAAACAATCCCCCCTGTTTCCAAAAGCTCAATATTTTCTCCATATTAAATAAAACTCCATCCCAAATCACATGCCTTGTTTTTACTTCATTATGTCCAAGTGTAACACCTAAAATTTTAATATTATTTTTCTGCTCTTTGAATTGCCAATTTCTCTGTGGGACTTCTACTTTTCCCATTCTGATATATTCTGTTTTTTCTTTGTTCACTTTTGCCCCTGTTCCTCCACAGTTTTTGTCAAAAATACCCATCGCCTTCCACACTGTTAAAATCTTTTAAAAATAGAGTAGTGTGATCCGCACATTGAAATTTTTTTTTTGTTCTGTTTCATGATTTTCTACTGAAAAATCTTTGATTTCTTTTTCTGCATTAATAGTGTGAAGTGTGTGGACACACTTCATGCTCTCTGGTCTCTGGCTACAGAATCGCCCCGACCCTTTTGCTGCAATCCTTTAAATACAAAACCAAGATCCCCCAAGTCTCGCCCTGAGACTATTCAAATGATACCCAACATGACTGTAAATCTTATTTGCATTCATATAAAACATTATATTATACCATTGACCATTCTGAGTGAGCTGGGTGAAGAGAAGGATGGGTGCGGGGAAGGAAGGGGATGAGGAGGAACCAATGCATATGCGAGAGACGTTTTCCCGCATTTTCTCTCAGTGAGAAACAGATGTTAATGCACTGTGTGTGTATTGTCTGTCTCAGAAGATCAAAGTGTCTGAGGTTCTGTAATTCTTACACAGCATCAGACCTGAAAGAGCTGGATCTGAAGATGGTCTACTTACTGTGAATGTTTTTTGTATGACTGTGTAGAGAAGACGAATGACTGAAACACTTCCCACATGCAATGCAGCGATACGGTTTCTCTCCAGTGTGGATCCTCTCATGTGTTTTCAGATTTCCTGAATCACTGAATCTCTTGTCACAGTGTGAACACTTGTAAGGTTTCTCTCCAGTGTGGATCCTCTCATGTGTTTTCAGAGTTGCTGACAGAATGAATCTCTTGTCACAGTGTGAACACTTGTAAGGTTTCTCTCCAGTGTGGATCCTCTCATGTGTTTTCAGAGTTGCTGACAGAATGAATCTCTTGTCACAGTGTGAACACTTGTAAGGTTTCTCTCCAGTGTGGATCCTCTCATGCCGTTTTAAACGGCTCGCTGAAGTAAAAGTATTTTCACACTCAAAGCACATGTACTCTCTCACACCAGCATGTGTTTTCTGATGTACTTTCAAAGTTGAAAAACGTGTAAAACTCTTTCCACACAAATAACATGAATGTGGCTTCTCCTTTGTATGAACTCTCAGGTGTTTCTTCAGGTATGAAGATAACATGAATGTGGCTTCTCCTTTGTATGAACTCTCAGGTGCTGCTTCAGCTCTGAAGCCCTCAAAAATGTTTTGCCGCATTGATCACACGTGTATGGTTTCTCTCCAGTGTGGATATTAATGTGTATCTTAAGGTTTGATGATTGTGAGAAACTCTTCCCGCACTGATCACAATTGAATGGTTTCTCTCCAGTATGAATTCTCATGTGAGCATCAAGATTATATTTGTTTGACAAACTCTTTCCACACTGAGTGCAGGTGAAAGATTTCTTGGCTCTTCTTTTCTTTAAATCTTTCTGTTTGGTTTGAGAGCAACTCCAAGGTTTTTCTCTACTTTTGACATGATTTCTCTCGTCAACTTCACTCAGTTCTTCATTCTCCTCATTTTCTTCATTTAACTCTGAAATAAAAGTAAAACTGGTTTATTTTCAGTTAGTCATAAAAACAGAGAAATGTGAAAGAAGATAAAAAAATAACCCTGATGTAAACATATATATATATTTTTGATGCATTTTTATAAATGATGTCTCTCTGAAATTGTAACTATTTGTAAGTATTATAGACACAAATCCCATATTTCTATGGGGAGAACTATTAAATATGTTTGATCAACAACAAAATATCTAACATACATTAATTTTGTTAAAAAAAGTACACATCATAGAAAGTATTTTAATATATGATGCTTCCTCTAGATCAGGGATCACCAACCTTTTTGTGAGTGAGGGCTCCCTGAAGGGATAAGATAGTCTCAAGAGCTACTTGTTTGATATACTCCAATATATATATATATATACACATATACTGTACACACACATTTAAAAAAAAATATCTTGATATCTTGCCACTAATAAACATTAATGATTTCTCACAAGCATTTTTAATTTTTTTTTAACAATCCAGGAAAATATTCCAGAAAATGTATAAAAATAGGCTAACAATTTTTTTTTCCATATCATACAATATTGATTTTTATCATGCTATTCATTTACCATTAACGGGGAAGGAAAAGCTTTCCACGTGTTTGTTAGACCTTGAGAATGAAGGTAAACATAACTTTGTTCACAATTAAATTCCACAGAGGAGTTATGTTTTAATTTAGGGCCCCATGAAATGCATTTCATTTTTCCCTAAATTCTGTGTTTTCCATTTAATTTATTATGGATTCTGTGTTTTATGATTCATTACAAATGTATCATAAAAAATGGTTTCTAGTGAAATGAATTAATACAACTTTAACAATTTAAATGCAGTTTGATCGTTCTTTTCTCTTTACTGTTATCACCGGCATATTGTCAAAGTGTCTAATTCTAACATTTGGTAATATTTCTATTCAAAATCGCGATTCCTCGATTTTTAAAAAATAAAATCGTGGCAAAACAATAAATTCAAATTAATTGATGAAATCGGGAAAATCGCCCAGCCCTAATTTGACTGTAATTTTTCTTAAATGAAACTGCATAAAGCTGGTGAAGTGACTCTCCGAGCATCTCTGGAGATGAAGTTCATGTGTTCATGTCCTCATATATTTAGACACAGAAGCGAGTCACGTGTGTTTGAGTTTGTGTATCAGACGAAACTATTCCATGCATTCACACAGACACACAGAACATGCAGACTGATTAGCGACATGCACTGACTGGCTGCTGTAACATTTATCTCTGTTGTGTAATAAGATGTTAGATTAATCCATATTGAATAAAAATGTCAAGAGCTTGTCATCATTATTATAATGTGAGAAAGAAAAAAAAAAATATATATACACACACACACACACACACACACACACACACAATAATATTCATAATAATAATAAAAATAAATGACTATAAAAAATCCTAAATTATTTTACTTAACTTCGTTTCTTTAATAAATTAATGATGTAATCATAGCCTTTCCCCCTAGAATACCTGTTATAGAAAAGTCTTTGTGATCAACCTTCTTTAATGACTGAATAAAATGGCATCTTTCTTTGTTGTATTTCCTGCAATGAAGCAGTACATGTTCAACTGTTTCTTGCTGACTACAATAAATACATTCCCCAGTTGGGTGCTTGCCAATTTTAAACAATGTACTATTAAGTCCTGTGTGACCTATTCTCAGACGAGTTATAATATTCCCTTCCTTACGGTTCCTGCTCTCCCTCCTCCCAGCACCAACTTGTTTTTGTATATTATATAAATGTCTACCTGTTTCAATACCATCCCAATATACCTGCCATACTGATTGTGCATATTTCCTGATGTATGCTTTAGCTTCTGCTTTACTTAATGGAACTTGTAGATCAACCTGTTTTAATTTTAGAGTTTGTTTAGCTATAATATCCACCTTCTCATTCCCTTCCACACCAACATGAGCAGGAACCCAAATGAATTGCATTGATATGCCCTTAACCTTTAAATTATACATCTTATGGAATAGTTCATTGATTATGTCCATCCTAAAAGATGACCTGCCAGATTTTATGCTTTTCAGTGCGGAGTAACTATCGGATGCAATAACTGTGTTATTAATTTCCTTCTCCTCTATCCACTGCAGGGCCAATAATATCGCCAATAACTCTGTAGCATAAACTGACAAATGATTAGTAACTCTTTTCTTAATATAAGAATCATTCATTGGAATATATACAGCTGCACCTTCATATCCTGCATCCGGATCTTTCGATCCATCCGTAAATAAAAACACTGAACCTTGGAAATGCCTCTCAAAAGAAGTCTGCACTATATACCACACTGGAATTTGCTTAGATTTGTCATTTATTTCCCGCTGTATATTGATGTCAACGCTTGGCAAGGGGAATAACCAGGGAGGAATGGAGGATATGGAGACTGTGTTGCTGTATTGTAATTGATGTAAACCTATATTCCTAGCCTTTGCATTACCTATCCACCCCTGTTGGTTCTTCTTCTTCTTCTTCTTCTTCTTTTGATTGAATGGTGAGTTGCGAACCAACTTCAAAGGTGCATATCGCCTCCTACTGTGATTGAGTGTGAAAAAAATGAACTAATCCCTCCTATATCCTATTATATAACCCACTATTCTTAATAAATCTCATGACTGCATGTATTTGTTTTCCTGAATTTGGACCGTCATTTAATAAGCTGGTTATAGTAAATTCCTCGCATCCTACTGCTTGTAATTCGTCCTTAAGAATCCTCCTTTCTATTCCATATATCTTACATATCTTAATTACATGCTCTACAGTTTCCTCTATTAAACAGACATCACATAGACCCGTGTTAGTGTCTTCACAAATATACGCGATCACTATAAACTTAACTGACGGGACAGACAGTGATTAACCTCATTATTTTTTCTCTATGCATAAAGAGACATTGGCATAGATGGGCGAACATAATCACCTGGTTTTGTAAATGTGGCCAATTACATTTGCATTAAGCACCCAGTTTGCACTTGTCCATAATTTTAATTAATAGCTTACATTTACAAAATGAGCATGCAATAGCAGAAATAAGCCTTTTTAATTAAATTAAAGGTCCATGTTTAATAATATTGTCAATGAAATGAAAATGTTAAATGAAATTGGTGAAGAGTAGCTACTAAAAACAAACATACGTGGGTCCTCCAATTTGACCCACAACCTGAACAGTTTGTAGGCTACATGAAATTAATTCATTCATCAACTCCATGCCAGGTTACCATACACGTCACTTTTTTACTTTCAGATAAACTTGATATTAAATTCCCCTCCCATCAGGCACCTAGTGTATTGTCCTTGTTATAAATGTATGTTCTATTATAAAGTAGCATGTTTTCTCTGTATGTGCACAAGAGTAGACTGTGTTCATTCTTAGTTTCAGCACAGCACCAGAGCCTGTTTGATTATAAACCTTTGCTCTTTAAATGTAAAATACATTGTTTGCAGTATTTGAATTGGAAGAAGGTATGAACTCCTCAGCACAGTTTGATTAATACACACTGGTCTTATTTTAACACAAATTCTGTTTCCATCACATCGGATCAATGTCTCCATCAGCTGGTGTTTATCTTTGGACTGAAGAAGCTTATGGAGGATGACGGCAGGCTCTTCACTCATTCCTGAACACAACACCTTCCAGACGCAGGTATAGATGTAGGAGTACGGCGTCTGCACAGGTGAGCTTGTTCTGCAGGAGAACGTCCTTCAGTATATCTCCTGAATGCTGAGTTTCTCATAAGATCTCCAGTGTGGAGCAGCATCTCTTTCACATGATGGACGCTCTGCTGCAGCGCTCAGACCTGATGATGAAGGATGAAGCTTTACTTCTTGAAGCTCTGGAGAGATGATCTGAGACAAAGCTGATGAAAATAATTAAGAACAACAGAATCACATCTGCTTCCTCTTGATCCCAGAGGATGAACTGAATGAAATAAGTTTTCCTCAAGCGTTCTCCATCAGACTCATGAGAAACTCTACCTCACTGATCTGCTCAGAGGTTTTTAGTTCAACGTTCTGCTCTTCTCTAAGATCAGGAATCAAATGCATGACATGAGTAATGAGTATCTACCCAGAATCTGCACTGGAGATGAGAGGAGTGTATTTATCAATGTCTCCACCTTTAATTCCCCAAACCATGACCAAAATAACAGAATGCAAAGCTTTTCCACTCCTGCACACACTAGTGCTCTTAACAGAGAGCAGAAGCTGCAGTGGAAAGCCCAGGTTTTTCTCAGTGATCAGGAATGCTCTAATAATGGTGTTTCATGTCGTGAGGTTCCTCGCAGGGCTGGCCCGTGGCATAGGCGACATAGGCAGTTGCCTAGGGTGCAAAATGACTGGGGGCGCTGCAGGAAAGGGCGCTCCTACACCCATATATTAAGCAAAATAATTTCTGACAGTTAACATTATTTTCATAAGTTCGATGATCGATCATTACTAAAATAATGTTAGAATAAAATAAAATTGACATCAACGAAAAATAAGATTTGACAACATGCCATGTTGGACTAATTTAAACACTTTCTGCGTCATGACGTATAATACATCATAATGTATTAATTATGCATGGCGCACGCAGTTAAAATAATTTTGCCATTTATTCGCTCTTAAAGTATCATTTCTAAAAAATGAGTGAAAAAATAAAATGATCAGGGGCACAAGGCAGGAAGCAACGCAAAGAAGAGGAGCAGAAAAATATCAATATAGAGGTAAAAATCACAAGTTAACGACTGTGTATTAGCCTGTGATGTTTATGTAGTATTTTGAAATAGCCTTTTTAGAACATCTTAACTGGCAACACTGACACCGTGGAACGTTTTTTGCTTGAGTTAACTGCTTATTTAATTTTACTTTATTTCCTTTACAATAAATTTAAGCTTCTGTAATGTTGTTTTAATATCAGTTACATTACTGCTTGCTTTTAATTAACCAAAAAGTGTCTAAATGTCTTTTGAAAAAGACCATGACTAGGACCATCAGAAATCTAAAATCTCGCCTAGGGCACCAACAGAGCCTGGGCCGGCCCTGGTTCCTCGCTAATGGCAAACAGATCAGTTACACTAGCAGCATTCGCTTCAGCAACAGTTCGATTCTCAGCCAAAATCGAACAATTCAATAGCCAATGGCTAGTCATTGTTCAGTCAAATTTAATATAATTTCCTTACATGCTCGCTGCTGCTGCACTAAACGTGAAGACACTAGCTGAGTTTCTCATAAGATCTCCAGTGTGGAGCAGCATCTCTTTCACATGATGGACGCTCTGCTGCAGCGCTCAGACCTGATGATGAAGGATGAAGCTTTACTTCTTGAAGCTCTGGAGAGATGATCTGAGACAAAGCTGATGAAAATAATTAAGAACAACAGAATCACATCTGCTTCCTCTTGATCCCAGAGGATGAACTGAATGAAATAAGTTTTCCTCAAGCGTTCTCCATCAGACTCATGAGAAACTCTACCTCACTGATCTGCTCAGAGGTTTTTAGTTCAATGCTCTGCTCTTCTCTAAGATCAGGAATCAAATGGATGGCATGAGTAATGAGTATATACCCAGAATCTGCACTGGAGATGAGTAGAGTGTATTTATCAATATCTGCACCTTCAAATCCCCAACCCATGACCAAAATAACAGAATGCAAAGCTTTTCCACTCCTGCACACACTAGTGCTCTTAACAGAGAGCAGAAGCTGCAGTGGAAAGCCCAGGTTTTTCTCAGTGATCAGGAATGCTCTAATAATGGTGTTTCATGTCGTGAGGTTCCTCGCAGGGCTGGCCCGTGGCATAGGCGACATAGGCAGTTGCCTAGGGTGCAAAATGACTGGGGGCGCTGCAGGAAAGGGCGCTCCTACACCCATATATTAAGCAAAATAATTTCTGACAGTTAACATTATTTTCATAAGTTCGATGATCGATCATTACTAAAATAATGTTAGAATAAAATAAAATTGACATCAACGAAAAATAAGATTTGACAACATGCCATGTTGGACTAATTTAAACACTTTCTGCGTCATGACGTATAATACATCATAATGTATTAATTATGCATGGCGCACGCAGTTAAAATAATTTTGCCATTTATTCGCTCTTAAAGTATCATTTCTAAAAAATGAGTGAAAAAATAAAATGATCAGGGGCACAAGGCAGGAAGCAACGCAAAGAAGAGGAGCAGAAAAATATCAATATAGAGGTAAAAATCACAAGTTAACGACTGTGTATTAGCCTGTGATGTTTATGTAGTATTTTGAAATAGCCTTTTTAGAACATCTTAACTGGCAACACTGACACCGTGGAACGTTTTTTGCTTGAGTTAACTGCTTATTTAATTTTACTTTATTTCCTTTACAATAAATTTAAGCTTCTGTAATGTTGTTTTAATATCAGTTACATTACTGCTTGCTTTTAATTAACCAAAAAGTGTCTAAATGTCTTTTGAAAAAGACCATGACTAGGACCATCAGAAATCTAAAATCTCGCCTAGGGCACCAACAGAGCCTGGGCCGGCCCTGGTTCCTCGCTAATGGCAAACAGATCAGTTACACTAGCAGCATTCGCTTCAGCAACAGTTCGATTCTCAGCCAAAATCTAACAATTCAATAGCCAATGGCTAGTCATTGTTCAGTCAAATTTAATATAATTTCCTTACATGCTCGCTGCTGCAGCACTAAACGTGAAGACACTAGAAAAGACAAGCTCTGAACCCGATGAAAACAATATGGAAATAACAACTTAAAATGTTGCTCAAACTGTATAAAGTGTGTTTGATGATTGTGTAAATATGAGAAATACCGTGAACTGCTTGCCTAAGAATTTATTAGGCATTTAAAGCTGAGAAAATTAAAACATGGAAAGCTCAAAAAGCAAATGGCTTTCACAAGTAAAAATAATGAATGAATTTTGATGCAAACAGAATCAAGAGGTAATCAAAATGGAAAACAAGAATTTGTTGTAAGGGAACAGGTCAGTTTAGCTCAAAGGGAATTATTTATGATATTTATAAGGAATTTGGTCAGAATCACTGTTTTACGGCTGATCAGTCGGTCAGCGATTCATTGATCGAGCTGTATAACATCAATCCACAATATAGTAAAAACACTTTATTAGCATGGTAACAAGATCGGCAGTTTAAGACAGTAACTTGTAAGCACAAAACAAACGATACTTCTCTTTTCAATGTATGTAAGACTTTATTGGATAAATCAAAAAGACATGTAAACTAATCTAACACATAAACACATGCACTCACACATTCACACAAGTTGCAGAAATAAAGTGAGGAAAGAATGAGTTTGAGAGAGTGAAAATGTGAAATCCCATGTTTATAG